AAATCATTATCGAAATCGCGTGAAAATTCTCCAAGAAATTTGAATGATGGTGATGATGACGAGTCATATATTGACGATATTTTTTAATATTTTCTAAATTAACTAATATTCCATACAAACAGATTTCGAATTACGAAGATTATTTTTAAGACCTAAAAGTAGTTCGAAATCGTATGATAACGATGATGATTATGATCTCAGTGGTAGGTATTTTTTTTGAATATTCTCTAGAAAAAGCAAGATTAATTTATTTCATACAATTAGATTATAATTCAGGATCATTATCAAAACAAATGTCATCCCAAGATAGCATTCCGATAAGTAGCTCAAAATCAAAGAGCGATGATAATTATGGTCTTGGTGGTAAATATTTTTTTATTTTTGAATATTCTCTATAAAAAAGCGAAATTAACTTTATATTTTATGAATTATACAACAGAATACAAATCATGAAAACGCACGGCCTCGATACATGATAGCGTTCCAAAAAGAATTTCAGTTTTGAAGAGCAGGGATAACAATAATGGTAATTACGAAATTTTTTAGAAAATCTATTAATTCAGTGGTCTAAATATAACATCTTTATTAATTTTTAAATAGAGCAACAATTATCAAGAACGTTAAGAACGAGAAGCAATGTTAATTATAATTACAGTCAAAAAAATCATATGCAAAGGAGAAAGTAGTTAAATGGTATATTAATTGCTATAAATTTAGCGAAATTGATCATTTGCTTAAAATTTAATAAAATTTACCAAAATTGAGTTAGTAATTTGTATAAATTTTAATAAAATTGATTAACATTTGAATAAAATTTAATCAAAATGGGAAATATTGTCAAATAATTTGTATCAAAATTAGGCAACATTGACTAATAGTTAGTATAAATTTAATAAAATTGTATAACATTTGCACATAAGATAATAAAATTTCAAAATTACTGCAAATTTTAATAAAAATTTTCTTTGTTAATGTTAAAAAATTTAGTATTTAGTTCATTTTTCTATGAAAAATGATTAAATTTTGTTAAAACGAAGTAATGATTTAAGATAATTTTTGTTAAATTCCACAGTTTTCATTACATTTGATAACATTTAATTGACAATTCAACTGAAATTTTTAATTATAGTGTAACATTTGAACAGACAATTTTTGGTTAATGCTAGTGAAATGGCGCCATTTTGCCTTAATTTGGTAAATGTGGAATTCCACATTTTTCTAAAATTTAACAAAAAAAAAACACAATTTACCAGGCAAATTTCTGGTAAATTGTGTGACAATAGCCACCATTAAACCTGTGTTAATATATTCTAATATAAGTAAAGTATCATCATATGGTAGCTTCTATATAGCATCATTTAAATTATTTTCAACATTACTCCTATCAAAATTAAGCTCTGTGTTCACATCTAACCCATTATCTGATGAAATAATACCAGTCTTTAACTAGCAATTTTTAATTGTGATAGGATTAACCTAATTCTATGCCTCAACAACAAATTCAATAGCATTATAAATATTAATAGAAATAATAGGCATATTTAATTCTTGTGAAATATCATACTCTTTAACTCTATTTTTTACCAATAATTTTTTGTATTTGGCCTTAATTTAATAAAAAAAAATTAATAAAAATACTAAAATATAATTTTAAATATAAATTTATTGTACT